GCATAATAATAGATTATTATATCATAATACAGCAATAATTATTTTAAAAAGATGACTAATAAAAGTGTAACATGAAACATTACACAAGCACCATCTGATTTATGATTTATTATTTATTGTTAATACGTTGGACAGTTATTATAAAATATAGAAATCTTATACATTGTATATAACTATTTACCATCATATGTACGATTTCGTAATTGTACATCACTGTCTTTTTCATACTTTGGTTTTTTATGTCCTCTAAATGACCGAAGAGTTCTAAAAAATGTTTTGTAAATAAGTTATCATATTTAAATGTTAAAAATAGGCACTAAAAGCTACATATAAGAAGGTGTATCATTTGCAATTCATTATTTCTAGTAATATTATTTCATTAATTTTTCAACATACCTAGATATTATAATTAATATTTGGAACAAGATGCAATGAAGCGTTTTTAGCATCAGCAATAGTATTAAAAATTAATCTGCTAAGTGATAACAAGATAGATAAATGATAAAAACATAACCACTGCTATTTTTTCTGATGTAGAAAAACCTTATTTCTTTTTTTTTTTAATCTAAAACCATAAAATGAAATGTAAAACATGCACTAGCTGTATTTAGTGCATTTGCACAGAGTATAAAATTCCAAAATCAATTAAATATATTTTAAACAAATCTTAATTCTGTAAACTACTTGTAAAACGTCTGTGTTAAGGAAAAATCTTATGTAACATAATACAGGATATTATGGTCTGCCATATTTCCGTTTGTCGAATTTTAATTGAGTAATAGTGGAAATTAAACGTTTGGCCATAATAGAAAAAGGAATTATGCACTGAAGACACCGAAAGTAAAAGTAACTTTGCAAACAAAATAAAACTTAAACATGGTATAATATTAATTTACTTCATATTTTTGTCTAGCCACTTGTAATACAAAAGAACAAAATAAATTATGTTTTCATGGTCTAGGCTATTTTTATTTTTTTTACAATAGCTAACGTGTATGAATTTAAATTTAGTATTCACAACAACGTTACGTCAATTTCAAACTTTTTATTGAAGCAGATTTTTAGAATAGTAGAACGTAGTATATTATTACGAAAAGTATTTTAATTAGAGTACCTTCTTCTTTATAACAAAAATTATAAATTTGCAATACAGTGAAAATTAGTTTGGAAAATCGAACATAAGATAAATTACCAATCACGCCGTGACGTTATCGTTGATAAATAATTTAATGTTTTACGATAACATGACGCTAGAGTAACCATTATGTTTACTAGCAATAAATAATTAGCAATTAAGTAGAGGCAAAAGTTTGTCACACATACAATGAAAAATGTAAGAGTATAATCACTTTCGCTTTTCAAAATCCATTATTATTTAACTGCATTTGTATCTAGACGACTCAATAATAAATTGGACTGTTGTTAGCACATCCTTTAAAAATTGCTGTACCAATTCAGAATGTCTATTGTATCATACTGTTAAATATTTGTGCTTGGTAATAGCTGATATCACATTATCACCGTAGAAGTCTGCGAAAACTACATACATACACATCCTCAAGAATAATTAAAGTTAGCAAACGAATTTTGAATTTATTATGGGATGTACATAAGCGCGCACAATTAACTTACAGTACGAATAAAAATTAATTTTTTTTAATAGAACTCGGTAGCCTGAACAATATATAATTTTTTTATCAAAAGAAATTATAAATCGCCAGCTAAAACGGAGTTAGCAATAAAAATTAGTAGATATTGTCTGTACCTTGAAATTGTTACTGTACCAAACCTAGCCGTATCAAACCCCGACACTCAGGTATATACCTAAATATCTATTAAGCCTTTTTGTTTATTTATTTTGCAATCCTAAGCCTTAATACAAATATGTGGCATCTTTGTCAAATTAAAGTAGGGCAACAAATTTGTTATATAAGGCAAATTAATTTTTAAGAGCAACTATTGTAAAGTGCAAGTCCTTGACATCCGATTGATTGTTATTGTAGACGCTAATAGTGCAAATAAAATCATTTAACTTAATAACAATTAACGTCGGAACATGCTTTTCAGTTGAACTATTTAGAACGATAGGGAAAGCTTCAGAGATCGTTTAATAATAAATAATAATTGTTTTCTATTTAACAATAAGATTCCGTATTATCTGCGATTACTAAGGGCTTCAATTGTATTCCATTTGATAGAAATTTTTAAGATTAAAATAACAAATAATAGAGTTAATGAATTTAAAAAAACATCCAACCGTGCAGTCAATGTTAATAAATAAATAAATTTTATATTCTCATTTCGTTCGACTTGAGTAAGTATTGCTGTCATTAATTTTATTTTTAAACGTGAGTAATATTGATCGTTAATTCGCTTTAGGATTCGAAATAAAAAAAAAAAAATAGCGATCGTTACTCCAGAAACTGGCACAACTCTACCTGTTAAAAACACCTTTAGCAACATAGTAACCTCAGTAAATATTGATTGTACTCGAAAATCGAATTGAAATAGCACAGGAATTACCTCAAGGATTTGTAAGATAAAGTAACCGAACATTGAACGAACTAAAAACAAATTATAATATGTACATAAAAAAAAATAGGTACATCTATCTACGTATTTGACTGTAACAACGGTAACGGTATCATAAAGTACATAATATGTTACAAGCATATTATAGTAAATATTTACTTATACTTGACAAACTTCATGAGAAAATGCATTTAATATTTTCACAACTAATTAGTTACTGCAGGACACCGTAATAATTTTAACTTATTGTTAATTTATTATTGGTTATCATTAATTGTTTTTTAACAATAAGCCAGTAGATACCTGCCTAGAGGCATTTGTATAATAAATTGTTTTCAAGACACCTTCTTATAATATGTATTATGTATTTACATAAATACTTAAAATACAGTTTATTCTGAAAAAAAAGACTTTAATATACTTACATTGTGTTTCTCAAGTCCTTTAAGGAATTAGAAAATGATCCTGATCTTTTTATTTTACCCCAAAAGAGCCACTTGTCACTACCTTCGTAAAAGGGATTTAAATGTTCCGGGTAATCACTCACACTACTTCTTCTGCCGCTCATTGCACTTCAAGCCCGCAACAATGATTACGTAAGTTTCGATGAGACATAAAGAAGAAAGCGACTTATCTTTACGCGGTTTCCACGATAAATGAATAATATAATTTTATAGCAGTTCGAATCCCCTCTCTATAAGGCTCACAGTGGCGTAGGTTCAATTGTTGAATATTTACAAACTTATTTAGCGATTACAAGTGAAACAATTCATTAGGTACGTAAATTGAATGCCAGTTAGACCACGTATCTACATATAATACAATAGTAGCGTGTGTTTGTGTAGAAGGACAGATTTTACCGCAGCCAGCGCTATTATTAACAAATTCTTTTCTTTCCATAACAATAATATTCCCGCACTTTATTTTTAAATTAATTTTGTATTAAAATTATAAAGCCGTAGATGGCTCAACATTAGTTCAGCTTGCAACTACAAATTTCGAGTTACAAGTCGAAATTTCAAAAAAAAAAGAAGTAGAAGCGGTACTTCTATGCCTTCGTAAACAAAAATAAATTGAGTTTTTAGAATTAATTCCTTACTCAAAACTTTTCATTTCTTATCAGTAATCACTAAAGTAACACTGAAGGCAATTTTTCAGTCTTTTTCCTAAAATATATACTTAGATAAACAAGTTATCGTAAAAAAAAAACATGATAAACTTTATTATACCTAGCTTTGTAATAAGGTGAAACGTCGGTGGTTTTTACCCTATATTGGCTTTAAATTTAATTGGAAAAAAAAAATATTAAATACGTGCTATATCTACTATTTTATTTGCCTTAGGTACATTTTTTTTGCATACACCTAAATCTTTATAGTTAAGAGAAAAATATTTAATCATCCTTCCAGATTATTATTGAAGAGTCCACTGTCTCTTTACGAGTGATTTGGATCGGAAATATTTCTGCGTTAATGCAATTTAAACGATCAAATAAAAATTTAAACAGTGCATATTCAGCTGACAGACATAAATTGCATATTTTCTTTTATAGCCTCAAGTCGAGTTTAAAATTCTAATTAAACTCTCAAATATTTAACCTTAGTTAGTCCATGTCAATGAGAAAACAAAAAATCGAAATAGTACCGATGGTTATTTATAAAATGTTGAATACATACACCTTTGACGAGTGTCTTTGTAACTACATATATTAATACACAACACATACATATGCATATACAGATAATAATAATAAATTATTGCGAATTCATCATAACCACATGCGTGCAACATATACTGAAACATTTGTATAATTCAAATAGTTAACGGATTAAAAAAAAAAAAATTATTTACATTATCCTAAAGGTCAACCGGAACATACCCCAGGACAGAAATATCACTAAAGCACATTATTTTTTATCACTTTTCTNTTCTTTATCATAGACTTTCTTACACCACCCCTTTCGACCCTAGTACCACACTTTATATCTTGAGCACACTTCACAATAAAAAAATATATTTTTTAAAAATTTTCATCCACCCCAAATTGTAGGTCTTACCTGAGGGGGGAGATGGTCTTCAAAAATACCATGCTTGCTCAAAGGGGCGGGGGGCTTAGATTTAGATTTTTGTTACGTCGTCAATATACTGTTTTCAAAAAATGTATAATAATGAATTTCAAATTTTATTTTAGACCACTTTTCCCGCACATTTTTTGTCGTAAATGAAAACGAAAACTTTCTTACACCACCCCTTTTGACCCTAGTATCAACTTTATATCTTGAGCACACTTCACAATAAAAAAATATATTTTTTAAAAATTTTCATCAACCCCAAAGTGTAGGTCATACCTGAGGGGTTCGTTATTACATCAGAGGGGGGGGCAGGGTCTTCAAAAATACTATGCTTGCTCACAGGGGCCGAGGGGGGATGCTTAAGTTTTCGTCACGTCGTCAATATACTCTGTTTTCCAAAAATGTATAATAATGAATTTGAAATTTTATTTTGGACCACTTTTTCCGCACATTTTTTGTCGTAAATTAAAACGAAAACTTTCTTACACCACCCCTTTCGACCCTAGTACCACACATTATATCTTGAGCACACTTCACAATAAAAAATATATTTTTTAAAAATCTTTATCCACCCCAAATTGTTCGTTTTTACATCAGAGGGGGAGAGGGTCTTGCTCACAGGGGTCCGGGGGGGGGGGCTGGGGTTTTCTCACGGTCGTAAATAATTTTTGTAAAAAAAAAATGATTTAAAACCATATTTATAAATTACTGCGTGAAAACCAAGGAGCAGGGGGGTCTTGGCATATACCACTGGTGGTCACCAAGGGTTGAGGGGGGTAAAAAGTGGGTCACGATGTATGGGTACAATCCCCTACCTTACATGTACTCTGAAAGCAACGAAATAAAAAAAAATAAATTGAGAAATAACAGAGCATATGATACCTACTTCCAACAAAAATTTTATTATGGATAACAGTACATAATACTACAAATATATATAAATCGAGTACAGTTAGGCCCTAGAAAATATCACAATAATTATTTAGGATACGTGTCTTTTATGATAATCAATTAATTTAAATTTATATGCATAATGATTATAAAATGCCATTATACATAACGTGACATTTTATTTACTCAAAAAATAGCGTTATTACAATAATTTACAACAAACGTAAGTAAACAAGTCTTTCCCAAAAACAAAAAGGGTGGCTTTGATAACCTTTGGCAACCTGGCGGATACGGAAGGGGGGGAGAAACGAAGGGGAGAAATAGGGTCACATACCCCCCCAGGGGGGATCAGAGCAATGCATAATTGTTATTCTGCGTACGGAAGAGGAAAGGTGTTAAAGGGGGTTAAGAAAGGCCCTCCCCCAAATTAATTTTAATTTAAAAATAAAAATGTTTAAGGTGAGATATCCATAACTCCCCATCGGAGGGAGGCTTTATTATGTATTAGCGATAGCAAAAATTTATGGAAGGATCTTAAGATTTTTTTTGTCCCCTTCTTCTCGCCTAACCCCTCCCGTACCCGCTATAATACCCAATGTTACGAAAGCAACCCCAAAAATAATAATTTAAAATGGCACCTTTTTTACAACGGTAGTTTGGGTACAATACCTTTGTAGTACGTCTATTTTCCACTGAAAAAACCAAGAAGTTTAGCCTTTGTAAATTTCTTCTTTCTGACTTTGGGAACGGGGGGTTGCTCTTGAGTTTCTTTTTCTTCGATTACATTTTTATTGGTGTTGGTACCGTTGCCGTTTGCAAAATCGCTTTCTTGTACTGGAAATTGATTTTCTTTATACGACCCATTTGGAATGTACCCTTGGTTATTATTCGTTTCGTCTACTTTTCGACTATTATCATCTCGAATATCCGAATCGTCCATCACTCTATCATGGATAGTATACGATTCGTCGATATATTTCATGTCGTGGGCGTATGTACTGAAATGGTTCACACCAAGTCCTGCTGAATCATTGTTATTGAGATAATCTTTATTGTCTAAGTTGTGTATCCTTTCTTCTACTTCTGTTCCTTGTGCTACTGTTTTATAGTTACAACCGGATGAAGATGATTTTTCTTCAATTTTCTCATTACCACACCCTAATGGAGATGGGTTTTCTCCAATTTTCTCATGGACAGAATCTAACGAAGGTAGACTTTCTTCAATTTTCTCATGATTACCACTAAATGAAGATAAATTTTCTTCGATTTTCTCATGGTCACAACCTAATGAAGATCGTTTTTCTTCTTCGTTTACCTTATGGTCACAATCTGACGAAGACAGTTTTTCTTCAATCATTTCGTGATGAGAATGAGACAAAGATGGTTTTTCTTCAATTGTCTCATGGTCACGTTCTGGTGAAGGTAAGGTGTCTTTTGCTATCTCCTGGTCGTTACGTAATGGAGTTGATTCTTTTTCAACTATTTCTTCTTCAATAATCTCCTGGACATCATGATTTGATGATGGTGATTTTTCTTTAATTATTTCATGGTCAGAACTTGATAAAGGTGGCTTTTCCTCAATTATCTTATGATCACAACATGTCTCAGGTTCTATTCTATTATGGGAACTTTCTTCCACATTCTCTTCGACGTTTCCCAATTTTTCACAACCTTCTTTTGGAGATTTTTGGTCGATCCCACAATCTTCATCCTGAATTGTGGAGGAAACTGATTTGATAATTAGAATATTGTCTTTGGTAGGACTACATTCGGCGGAGGTGATTACAATTTTTGGACAAACGATGTTTTCGTTATCAGAAATGCCCTCCTCTTTGGATCGAATGTGAGTTTCATCGCTTTCAGGATTTTCTGATTTGTGATTGCTTTCGACATTGCCATTAAACGAGTCAGTCATTTTCTCAATTTCTTTGGTAAAACTTTGCAACATCTCACAAATCTCAGTCATTGGCTTTTCTATTTCTGAAACATCTAAATCGCTTACTTCCGAATGTGGATAAGAAGATATATCAGTTTCGACTGATGTTAGACTCCAACTTGAATCTTTCACCTAAAAATTGAAACGTTACTAATTAATCGGGCTTAAACTGTCAGGAATTGAAATGAAAAGGCGTAAGTGGGTAAACGGATATGTTAATCGCAAATGATGCCATGCAGAAAATCTATAATTACTCCGGAAATTGAAATAAGCCCAATCTGAGTTTTGGTGTAAGCGTATAGTAAACGTTGAAGCAAAACTAAAGAGTGAAAAACATGACTTAAAACATACACCAGGTGGTAAGGGGGCTCGACGTTTTCTCCTTTTAACCCTCTTTCTATAATCTTCAGGTTTAATTTCATTGACACCCTCCTCATCATCTCCATTTTCAAATGGGTTTTTTGAGGAGTCGTATGAATTATCGACCGATTTTCGCACTCTTTCGCTAAATCGAGATCTAGGAAGTAAAGGGGTTGAAGTTACAATGGGGGCTTGTCGATAAGCCGGAACAGTTTGTCGACTAAGTGTTGAATATCCTACAAAAAAAATTTATTCTACATCTACATATCTTTTAACTTTAATTATATACTGTGATTTTACAATAACTGTATAACGGCTTTTTGCAATTAGCGTGTGTTTAAAAAAATCAATTTACACTTGAGTTATGTAAAAATGACCAGAATCAAGATTGCATTAAAATTATCAATAACACGTCAAAATCAGCATGAACTTGATAAGGGTAGATAAATATTTATAAAGTCGTCTTAAAAGTTTTGAAAACAAATCTGTACCTAGTGCATCCAATTATAAAAACAAAATTCAATTTGGAAATTAAAAAGTTTTCTATATAAGTACATTTATTTGATAACCTTTTAGTGCAACACGACGAACAAAATGCATTATTTTCTCCGTTATTTACTTGTTCAAAGTATGCAGCATTCGGACGCTTTACTGCCTAGGTAGGCTAGGTCAAGAGGTCAATGTGCTTTCAAACTTTTTAAGAAACCTTCGTATTTTATGACTAATACCAGGTAAAAAGGTTTTACGTTTTTTAGAACAATTTAATTTGTAATACATAATCATTTTAAAAATAGTGATTTACGTTAGCAAATTAAGAGTTACAGATACAATGCATAATAATAGATTATTATATCATAATACAGCAATAATTATTTTAAAAAGATGACTAATAAAAGTGTAACATGAAACATTACACAAGCACCATCTGATTTATGATTTATTATTTATTGTTAATACGTTGGACAGTTATTATAAAATATAGAAATCTTATACATTGTATATAACTATTTACCATCATATGTACGATTTCGTAATTGTACATCACTGTCTTTTTCATACTTTGGTTTTTTATGTCCTCTAAATGACCGAAGAGTTCTAAAAAATGTTTTGTAAATAAGTTATCATATTTAAATGTTAAAAATAGGCACTAAAAGCTACATATAAGAAGGTGTATCATTTGCAATTCATTATTTCTAGTAATATTATTTCATTAATTTTTCAACATACCTAGATATTATAATTAATATTTGGAACAAGATGCAATGAAGCGTTTTTAGCATCAGCAATAGTATTAAAAATTAATCTGCTAAGTGATAACAAGATAGATAAATGATAAAAA